CCCGGCGAACTCTGTTCCGCCTTAAAGGCAATAAATAAGCAGTTTTTTTTTAATTGGAAAAAATACAAAAAAAAAAAATACCTACATTAATCATTCATAATTTATTTGTGTATTTTAGTACACATCGCAAATTATCTATTTGTTGACCTCTGTTGTTCGCTCGACCTTCAGTCCTTAAATTTGCAGTATTTCGTATTCTTCTTGCATTACGGCTTTGTCGGGAAAGATTCGATCGTCTTGGTCGCGGCATTATTAAAAAACTAAAAACTCAAATTTTCAACCATACCATACATTATAATTGTTAATTATTTATTTTGTTGAGTTTGCAACAACCAGGTAGTTTTATTGATTAAAAACGATATTTATTGCAACACAAACTTATATTGATCTAATACAACTTTTAAAAACACATTAACTAAGTTATATTTCTATCTGTTAAATTTTAATAAAATATTTTCTTATATCAAAAATTTGATAATTTCAAAACCTACTTTGTCGTGAACGGGATAAACAGGTATCCTATGTCCTTCTCCTGGCCTTAAACTACCTCCCTGTCAATTTTCAGCTAAATCGGTTCAGCCTATGTCCTTCTCCTGGCCTTAAACTACCTCCCTGCCAATTTTCAGCTAAATCGGTTCAGCCGTTCTTGAGTTATAAGTGGTGTAACAATAACACATCTTTCTTTTATATATATAGATTATATTGTTCTATATTGTTCTTAATGATAAACTTATTTTGAATTAATTCACTTGGGTTTTTTGGAAGTGCTTCCGTTTTTCGTTTTTGTTTTGAAATATTAGATGGATTTCTTTCGATGCACAGATATTTTATTGAAGTATAAACTGTATACTTCATTTTGGGTTTATATCTTTTCCCATATTTCAGGCAGTAGTAGGGTTTCACTGTCACAAATCTTTAGATCAGTGCTGACAAAATCTTTAGATCAGTGCTGACAAAAAATTAATACAAGTCATTTTTAACGTCCTCATTTCAAGTAAAGATTAGATGGGTTTGAACATTTTTTAGAGAAAAAGTGATTTCACTCTTACGAAGTGAAAATCAGAAGTTAACCGATCTGGATATTATGGTGTATATTGTAGTATAACGCATTCCATTCAAACAAGTGCATGTGCACTTGATCACAGGCTACGGAGCAGAGCACTTCGCAGCACAGAAGGAAACATTTAACAAGGCAACTAAGCAATTTATATAACATTGATTCCTAAGCAACGTAGCCTAGTCGCTAACGTTGATTCCCAACCTACCAGCGTAGCCTAGTCGCTAACGTTGATTCCCAACCTACCAGCGTAGCCTAGTCGGTAACGTTGGACACTCCTCCTAATGCTAATCGGGTTTTCTTTTTACAGGAATTATAGTAATTTTCCATATTTGTATTAGTAATAAAATTTGTTAGTAAATAACTATAAACATAAATATTGTAAAAATTTTTATTTTGTAAAAATAAAAATAATTAAACTGAAATAACCCGGGTTTTTAAATTATTATACGACGGGAAGATTCAGGGTTATAAAGAAATTTTCTTGTAACAACCCTGGGGTCCGGCGAGCGAAACCTCGGCCGAAAGGTTCATTGCAAACATCATACCGAGTTTAAAAATTAATTGAATACATCCACCTTTTTTTGGTTCTTGAATATCGGAGAAGATAAAACTATACATTTGGTTAGATGACCAATATTCCGAAATCTAAAAGAAAGATTAAATACTAAAAATAAAGTAGACTATTCAAATTCGAATTTCTTAGGTTCCTTAATAAATTTTAGAAGATCAACAGAGAGAGCTTGAACGTGATTTATGCTCAAGATATTATAACCCAATATTGTCAATCTCTTTTCTGCATATGCTGCAGACTTGTTACCAAAGCTTCTTCTACTGAATTACTCATAAATATTATAAGGGACATTAAAATAAGTAAAGTATTAAATTGGTAGTCTATTACTGAAGCGCTTAAACTGAATATGGTGCCCCAATCACGTGAAGTTTTACAGATATAGTCTGACTCTATTTTTTGGGAGTTAAAGAAATTATGAGTTAGATACTAACTAATAATATATGTGCAGAATTTGTTGTGTTTATTAAAATAAGATACTATTTTATAAGATCAATCAGTGCTTTAAAACTATCAAAAATTAATTTTTATTTTTGCTGCTGTTCTGACAATTGTGGAGATAAATCAATGGATTACACTAAGTCCAAGTAATATAATACCGTGTTTCCACTGCAGCTAAAACAACTTTCGTTAATCAAATTAAGATTTGGTGGTTTCCATTGGCATAAGTTGATTATTGCATGTTAAAGAGCTTTTATATATCAGAAAGTTCTGCGAAAGTTCTGGGAGAGCTTTTGTTTTTTTACATTTGAATTATTAGCAGATAATACGTTATTAGCAGAAAATGCAGAAATTTTATTGAAAATGTGTGTGAAATTATTCACAACATTAAAAAACCAATTGAAACATATAAATTTTGAAAAATTGTCACCCTTGGCTGATTTGTTTTTTGTTCATTTACATTTGGTTACATGTGCCAAATATGTTAAAATTAGATAGTTTTCCTTTTGGGAAATATTTTTTGCGATGCTGCAGTCGTTTTTTTTAGTCTAATTTTCTTTAATCTAATTTTAACTAAGTTAAAAAACACGAAAGCTCTTTGTATGATTAATCATATTTTATATATTATTATAATATTTTATTATCATTATACCTTATGCAAATAAACTGCTTTAACGAAGTTAGTTATAAAAACCTAGTTATATCAATTTATAGAGCTTTAAAATGTTTCTAAACTTAAAAGCACGCCTATTTAGCAAGAGGTTTTAATAAGACTGATAGTTTGAGTAAATTTTTCGACAATGTTGTATGTCAATACACCTCAATTATTTCACATATATTAAAAAATGTCTAACCGCCACTGTTTTACAAGTTAGCAAGGTTTATTACATTCAGCGGATAGTAGCACAAGTAGCGTTTATGGTTGCTGTCTTAGCTAAACTTTTACGAGCGAGTGCTTGTCTTTGTTGAATGCGCACAGAAGAAGGAACAACTGAAAATGACACATGAATTCTATCAAAAAAGTGAAGAAGAAAGTTTTAATTTTAATAATATTTTTTTAATTTTTATTAATAATAAACAATTAATTTATAAAAATAATAATAATTCGTTCACTAAATTTATTAGCTATTACGATATTTATAATTAATTAAATTAAATTTATTTTAATGTTATTATTATAATTAATTATATACTAATAAATCTAATGAAATCATTTTAAAATGTTTATATTTATTATATAACTTTTAAAATTTACTTTTTGTACAAATTGTATTGTATTTAGTTTAGGATATATATCAACTTTTAAATAATTACTAGTATAATATATTTGCTTAATATAGAAATAGTTTTGTTAGTTATTCTTTTTTAAATTTAATTTAATTAATTATGAATAATATATTTACTTAAATACAAACTTAACACTTAATTTAAATTAAATTATTTTTGTCATTTATGATATAATATTGCAATTTTTTGCTACTTATATTTAAAGTAATTATTTTGCATTTAAATGCATGAAACTGTGAAAATTACAAAGAATTTGTTTTAATTACTTATAAAATATTTTAAAATAAAATATATGTATATAAAGACCATCCAACGACAAAATTATAGAGATTGTTAGTTCTATTTTGTATCATTAAACATTTTCTTTAAAAGGTTTGATTTCTTAACATTTCTGTTATAAAACAAAAATAATTAGGAATAATAATATTTTGGTATTATGAAAATTTAAGAAAATAAAATGACATAAATTATGTTTAATTATTGAGAAATACTTTTAATTTTTTTTAATATACGAAGTATACAAAATATATCAAATAGAATAAAATATATATACACAACATTTTGGTTATATTATATAGCATAATAAAATTCTACAAAAATATTAACAGAAATATGTTTCGAAAGAAAGAATTACATAAATAATAAAATTTTACATACACAAAAATATTTTTATAATCAATATATTATTAAATACATTTATGCATATTTATATTATTTTCCTTTTTATCTAAATATAAATATATGTATTGTGTTTATTTTATTTTATTCTTGAGTGTCAGACATGATTAAATCATGGCACTCAGTCAATTTGATTTATTATTAAACACACATATATATATAATATTATTCATAAATAAAATATATCTGTAAAAATATATAATAATTTAAATGTATATTTATGTGCTTTCAACTCAAAGTCTAGATAGTGGTTGACTGAGGATTTATCAGACTTACTCGTATACTATTAAGTGTTTACACTACAACGAGTGAATTAACGCACGTGAAAAAATATGTACATATATATCCACATATATACATAAATATTTATTTACATATAACATAATTATATGTGTTTAATAATACATCTGATGGTATAATAACACAATTATTTATATAACATAATTATATATCTAATAACATATTTTTAACGGATTTTAAATTTTATAACAATGTTTTTTTTTCTCTAGGAGTTAATGTTTAAAACAAAATTGGACGGAAAACTTAAAAGTTAGAATACGAAAAAAATTTAATAATAATTGTTAATTTCTTGAGAACATTTTTCGTACAATAGAATTTTAATTAAACTTACTATTCATTACTGCATTTTAAAAGTTTTCTAATTGAAATTAAAAATAAATTAATAATATTTTTTGGAAGACTAAATGAAAGATTACAGGTTTAACGATAGATTAAAAATTTATAACAAAATATAATTTATTATATTTTTTTATAAATATATTAATATTATTAATAGATGGTATTATAATTTTAAGAAAATTATATCTAATAACAATTATTTAATTTAATCATAATTAACTTAAGTATTGCGTTTGATGTTTACACTTTAAACTAATTAAATAAAAAAATTAAAATAGTGTCGTTTTACAATTTTATGTGCGTATGTGTTTAAGATTTTTGTGTGCGTGTATCTGTGTTTATGTAAATGTTTTTTTGTTTTTTTTTTTGTATTATTTTAGAACTTTAATTTCTTAATGATTTTTCTCTATACACAGTCTTTGTTTCATTGAATATGCGAATGTTTTATTTTTATTTTAATAATTTAATTTATTTTTTGTTTTTAATTAAATGTAATAAAAATTTTATGTCTAAGTGTGTCAAATTAAATTTTCACACCTCGGTACTGTGTGTCTGTATTCGTACTTTCTTAACACTACCACTACGATTCATAGGCGGCGAGCTCCCTGAGCCAGAGAACCCTGGATTTTGTATGCCTAACGTATTATCTCGAGGTGGTCGAGGTTTTTTCAAACTGGAACGTAAAGGTGAGCGTGTAACTGATTCCATAGTCGAACCATTTGAAACGCTTGTCACTGTTGTACTCAACGACGCCACACTGCTTCCATTGCGTATATTGCTATAAGGTTTGCCGGAAGCATCTGTGACTGAAACACCTAAAAAATAATAATATGGAATGCGTATAATTAGTAATAAAAAAAAATTATAATGAAAGCTTGGCTAGAAAGTATTTTCAGTTCATATGTTATCTAAAATCAAACAAAATGAGTGTTCATTAAAAGACTAATATAATAAAGTAATTAAAAAAAAGAATAATTTAAAATTAGAATAAAATAAAATTTTATTTAAAAATAAAGTTTTTGTAATTATTAAAACTCACTAATATTCAGTATTTATTTATACTAATAAAAGATGAGTGAAGAATTTAAAATTATATAAACATTAAGAAACGCTAGTAAAAACTAGTAAATATATTAAAATATTAAAAGTTGAACGAAATAAGCGAAATAAAAAAAATTATTCAATATTATTCAATTATTTAAATTTTTTTTATATAGAAACTAAAGTTCAAAATTAAGTTAAATAAAAGTTATATTAAAACTGAAAATACTTTTTAACCCATAGAATGTACTTACCATTTTTGGTACGTGGCTCTTTATAGCCTGGATTATTATATGTTGTTGCACTAGATGGTGATGAAGCATCTACAGTCATCGTTGGGTCTCCTCCAGGGCGACGTGAGAAAAGCATATCATATACTGAGGTTAAGACAAGTCCTATGCTTAAAATTATGGTAACTATCTGTTAAATGATATAATAATTATATAGTATATTGTGACAGATTTTAATTTATATATTTACAGATTTTTTTTTTAAATTTTACTAACCTGTAAATAAAATGATATACCACGTGAGATTCTAAATCCATACTTTTCCGATTCATCTATTTGCAAAGCAAAGAGGACAGCAGCAATCAATGCTAGTATACCTGATGGTTTTAAGAACAATTTTTTAAAAAACATTAATTTTATAGTTAGACTTTTCCACCAAAATAAAAAAATTTCGGTATTATATACAAATAAAAACAATACTTCTAATTCTCTGCATTAAAGAATAGACACTGTACGCTAATGCGATGGCGGATGATTTAAGCTTTGTATACCGAAAACGCGTAAGGAGAATAAAATGGCTTCTAAATAAAATTGATTCTTTTGCTTTTATTTCGCAATTAATATTATAACTTTAATTTTTAATGGCTTCACTTAAATATTGACACATATCAGAACGTTTAATAATAATATATCAATACACAGAAAACCACAAAAAAACACTCATAAAAAAAAAAAATTCTTGCAATACATTTTTTAGCTTAAAAGACACGATATATGTTTCTACACTCATACACTTCTTCGAATTCGAATACTTCTTCGAATACTCTGTTACTTATTAGTCGTTCTTAGAGTCTACCTCCTCCTCTTTTTTCTACATCACATTTGTGTTTCACTTCAAACTACGCTATAATAACAACATTAAAGTCATTTGAGTTAATAACTTTTCCATATACTTTCTGCTATTCTCATACCATCCTTATGTTTATATCTCATTCCTTATAGTCCACCTCTTACAGTCCTCTTACTGTAGTGTCTTTTTTCTGTTGTTTGTATTCTGCTTCTAGATTTCCAATGAATCTGGTATAGTCAACAAACTTCAATCCAGACTATATCAACAAATTTTTTTCATACATTTCCTCTTCTTTTCTTCTATACTCTTCTTACTCTATTCAATCAGTTCATAGCTCCACTCTCTATCTAGCTTTTTTTTAAATCATATAAAAATTTTTATTTTTTTTCAATTAATCTTCAATCTTGTTCACTGTTCACAATAGATACTGCTTCTAGATTTCCAAGGAATCTGGTATAGTCTACAAACTTCAATCCAGACTATATCAACAAATTTTTTTCATACATTTCCTTTTCTTTTCTTCTATACTCTCCTTACTCTTTTCAATCAGTTCATAGCTCCACTCTCTATCTAGCTTTTTGTTAAATCATATTAATATTTCCTTTTTTTCAATTAATCTTCAATCTTGTTCACTGTTCACAATAGATACCCCAAATTTTTATAATGGATCTAATACTTTTAAGCTCCACTTTTTTGTTAGCATTTATAACCTAACAAAGTACTTATAACTAAACCATAGTGATTGGTTTCCGAGTTCAAAATACGTATTTAACTATAATGTACGCGAACTTCAAGCTAAAGAAAAATGAAAAGGACATTCTTTAAACTTGAATGAATTCAAGTATATAATGAGTACCATGGATTTGATAATGCACATAATAGTAAAATAAAGAGGAGAAGTTAACAGGTCTGTAGGCTTCCAGCGGAGCAGAGTATAATGAACAAGGTAAATCTTTTGCGTTAGGAACTGATCCTTACTGGCATTTTGAATAAAGCTCAGAATGTTTAATGTTGGGTATTTTATAATATTACATACATCCTAATATTAATAATACTACATATTCTCCTGTTTTAGTATTTTCCTCGTGAAAGCCAAAGCTAAATAGACACAAAGAATGTGACTAGATGTATCATCTCCTTGTAGATAAATGTTCTTCAGTCTAGTTCAGTTCTATCTTATTAAGATGATAGAGTAGATTAAGGTGATCGTTCAGATAATCTACTTAAAATCTTATATACTTAATATGTTTATATATAAGGAAACAGTTTTCAATAGAGATTTATTTTATTATATATTGTCAACTTTGTATATGCTCAATCGATTGAGTAAAAATTATCCTCGATCATTTAAATACCACATTCTTAGTTTATGGGGGCTTTAGTAATCTTAAATTGACTATTCTAAGTATTATTCTAAAATCTCTTATAAGGTTTTCTTTTGCAAAATTTGCATATAAAAAATAATATTAAATGAAATGTTCAGTACTTACATCCAATTATTGCTAAGATCAATTTTAACATTACTAAGCTAGTATATGACATCACAACCTTATCACGTGATGAAATCATTGCAATTTGTATCACCGATAAAATGCAGAATATACCCAGCGCAGCTGAGCTAATGATGGCCAATAAGCCACTAACATATACGGCAGCTAAAATATATTAAACAGAGATTACAATTAATTAAAAATTAATTAATAATTTAAATATAACACAAAAAATATATTGACAACTTACAGTTAAGCCGAAATTTGGAGACTTCATTACCACACTTTTCACGATTGTATGCCAACTGTTTACATACTTTAAAGGGACCAAAGTATCCACGGTCGTAGTCGTAGCCACCTAAATAAAAATAAATTTTATTAGTAATTATAATATTTTTAATTAAATTATAATTTATTTAAATTTTTTAGAAATGTATTTAATCAAATGATATGTCAAATTTTAGAAAATCTTAATTAAATCCTACTAACTGAGGTAAACCAAACTTTTTTAATAATCAGTGGATCAATAAAATAAGTAAATAATGAATCTAGCTCGAACTATCAATGAACTGTCTCAAAAGTATCGCTCGGTTGAGCGCAATTTACACTTTTTCAGATTGAGTCAGTAATAACACAAAATAATCGTTTTAGCTATCAACGATAAAAGTTTTTCCTTTGAAAAGATATATTTAAATTTGGATTCAATTTAATTAGTTTTAATTTTTTAAAATCTTTGGTTCCCTATCGTAAAGAACAAAATGTATTAACAATTTTCTATAATTAATTACAATAAAAATATTTTAATACTATTTTAAAAAGTTGATACTATTAGTTAATTTGTGCTTAATATTGCACTAAACTGCTGAAATACACCACTTTTTTAATTTTTGACTTTATTATAGTCAAAAAATTAAAGTTGATTATGATTTTCAGGGCAAGTCCGTTTGACGACGGATTTTTGTAGACTTAGCTATTTTGAATAGCAATGGAATGTAAAATAGTTTCATATTTTTATTGTCTTCAGAAACACTATATGAGATCCTGTACGATATTATTATTAATGTCAGAAACTGTAATAAGGCTCTCATTAAAATGAACTGTCAAAGATGAACTTAAATAAAAATTAATTTTACTTATACTTTTATGAAGCATTTTTCACAATAAAAATGTTAAATCCCTAAAGTAGTACCTGAGCACTCTGATGTGACAATATAGTATATATAGTATACTTATATAGTATATATAGTATACTTATATAGTATATATGGTATACTTATATAGTATATATAGTGTACTTATATAGTATATATGGTATACTTATATAGTATATATGGTATACTTATATAGTATATATAGTTGATATATAGTTGATGGTTTTAATGTAAACATTATTAATTTTAAAACCTGGTATCTTGAATACTGAACTGTAATGATGCTCAAAAGAGTTGTTTTTTCACTAAAATCCATTGTCATATGAGTTGTCGGAGAAATTGGAGTTATACATATATTATATAAATGATTTCAGATTAATACATGAGGTTACATTTTTTCTTACTATTTTAAATGCTAGCACTATTAGTTTTTTGTGCTATAAATACCACTAAACTGCTGAAGTATAAAATTTTTTTTAAATAATTCCTTTTGAACTATAAACATATGGCTGAACAACTACCATAATATTATTGTTTTCTATTTTGAAGTATTTAATATATTAATATTAATTATTATTATTAATAATAATAATAATAAATTATTATTAGTTATATCTGAAGCATTTGAATTAACTTTTAGCTATTTGTATTATAGACATTATCTTCCTTTTTATTTCCGGGGTGCGTAAAATTGACTACGGAATTTAGTATAGTCAGCTATTATCATTAACTATGCAATACGAAGCTTGTTCATATTTTTATTGTCTTTAGAAAATCTCTCTAACTGAGTTACTGACTGATATTTAAAATGATTACATGGTCCATTATTTTTGTGAGAACTATTTTTATTTACATAACATAATTATTTTTTAAAACAAAACACTTCCTAGTAAAAGCAGTTCTATTATTACTAGAAAGTCTTCACATATACCATAGTATGCTGAAGAAGTCCGAAAGCTTCGTAGCCTTGACAGTTGCTATCATTGTATATCATTTAAATCTTTAATATATCAATCAGTTTAGATATACACAGCCTTGCTATTTTAAAATATCTTCATTGATACTCTTTCAGTATTGGACATCTTTTGATAAAATATTGGAGACTTTTTTCTTAATTTTATTTACATAGCGAACAGATATTAGAATTTCTTCCTTGATGTCAATTTCTTTTTAGCCTTAGAAACTCACTTCGAGTTTTAATAATCCAATAGATTTTTAAGCGGTTAGGTGTTATTGCAATATACCAAGTCTTGCTGCAATATATCCCGTTTCACAGATAATTTAGTTTTCTGTAAAAACACGGCGTTCACTATTCTCAGATTTCTTAATATGACGTAAGATATTTGTTTTTTGATATATCATTTGTAAAAGATATATTAAAAGAATTCATTTGATAGTCGTTACGACGATAAATATACTTAATTTCCATATATTCTTTGGGATTAAAGAGTAATTTTAATATTTAAAGCTCAAATATAACATTTTTCCAATCACGGACCGTATAATCACAACTACCCTAATTATATATCTAGGTGCTAACCATTTAAACTGTCATAATAACCCCAAATGGGTATGCCAATAGAGACATACAGATATATAATAATAGGCAAATAATCCGAATCATCTCTATTACATATCTAAGTACCTATTATTTGAATTGTCGTAATGATCCTAAATAAATAGCGGCATATCCAAAACAATTATAATGATCTCTATTATATATCTGAGTACCTATCATTTGAATACACGAAACAATCCTAAACATGTATGCCAATAGCAGCACATCTATAACAATCATAATGATCTCTATTATATATCTGAGTACTTACCATTTGAACTGTCGTAGTAGCCCCAAATGGGTATGCCAATAGCGGCTGAAGCCAAAGCGAAGCACAAGAACCCGTAACAAGTTAACCCAGCAGCATAAAGAGCAGTTTTTGATTTCGCCATTTTTTATCGATCAGCATAATTAAGTGAGACGGCAGCTGAGATTTCGATAGATTTCTTTTCTTTTCCTTTCTTCTGTAATTTTGAAGGTCACGACTAGCAAGCACACGTTAAAAGGTCACTTCCGAATATGATGAGATCAAAACTGTAATGAAAAAATTTAAAGAAAAGATGAAATTAAACGCTTCAGTAAAATAACAAATAAAATTAAATTTGTAAGCATTTGAGCGAATAAATCAAATGCTTTGAATAATTTAAATTGCCAGTTTATTTCTCGGTTCAAATTTTTTTATTTTTTATTGTGAAATTTGTTGTTGTAAAATGTTTATTACTGAATTTTGCTATAAATGTCATTATCAGCGCACAGGCAGCGAATGAGTGGGAGGCTACTTAGCACTACTTTGGGGGGCAATAATATTAAAAGGCCATAGAAAGTGTTTGATTATGTGTTAAGGATTTTGTTTTTTATTGAATTGGCATGATTATGACGATTCTTGAAATGTAGGTCAATTATGTGATATCATTGAATGAGATTGTTAGAGAAATGCTTTCTCTAATTGCATGAAAATAATAGAAACTCAAAAATTTAATAATAAAAATGTCAACTTTATATTCGCAGTTTAATATTCCAATTTAAAATTAAAAGTTTTTATTTAGCATTCAATAATGATAGCTGTCAAAAATTGATATCAAAAATCAATTTAGGGCAATAAGTCTTTTATAACTAAATTTTTAAAAAAAGGACTTTCATTTCCTCAACATTATATGTATATGCATATTCATTTACAATACATAAAATTTAGTTAAAATTTAATTTTGTCCAATAAATAACAATTTAATAATCTTTTAGAAATATTGTAGTAAAATTAATATAAATACAGAATTTTATACTGTTTCAATATAAATTAATTAATTTTCTAAATGTTATTAAATGTCGTATTTATTACTTGCACTTATCATAAAAATAAAATGCCAAAAAAAAGTATATTGTTTAAGGCTCCTTATAACCAAGCTGGTAGTAATAAATCGAAGCATCTATTGAAGAGACATTTAGAAGATATTTAGCTTCATAAAAGAAATTTATAATTTATTTTAAAAAATGAAATGCTTATTCAACATATTGTTGCGTAATTTTCGATAATTCATAGTCGTTCGAAATCACTGAAGCCTGATAAATAATTATATAGTCGACTCTTGATGTGTATAACCTTTTTTATTGCCATAGTTTTCAGCAATTGCCAACATTAGATTTTCTCAAATACTAATATTATAATAAAATTTATTTTCTAACTGCCATTGTCAGTAAACTATTTTTTAGTTTACTAAGATCGAAATTAGTAAAAATATTATACTTTTAAATATCTATAGACATCCAAGTATGCAGAATTATGGATGTAAAAATACTAAATGGATACTAAATGACAGTACCTTATACATTAAAAAAATAAAAAAGAGAAAGACACATTTTATTTCTATTCTTATGATCTTTGTTAAATTTTTTTAGATATTGTTTTTAGATACAATTAGATACAATATAGATACAATATCATTATTTAGATACAATTTTTATGTTTCTTATTTATTTTTATTAGTCCCATAACCACTGGTATTAGGTATTGGTTCTAACACAGAATAGATTTTATTGTCTAGTGTTGGGTACTTAATTTGTATTTTAAAGGCTCTATTATAATCAATAAATAAAGCCCGATTTTGATTTCCGTGAACACCCATTTTACAACGGATTTTAGTAGAGTAAGCTATTTTACATAAATGTGTAATATAAAACCATATTTTGGTTGTCTTTAGAAAAACTCTTAAATTGAGTTACTGACTGATATTTAAATCGCAAGTTCTCATACAGTTTAAAGATCTTTCTATTTGTTAGGTCTGTGTAAAATGTCTGGAAACTTGAAAGTGGGCTCCAATAATACCTAAAAGTAATTAGGTTAGTTATACTTGCCGCCGTTAAAACAGGCCTGCCCTAGGACAGTCTTTATTTTGAGAATCTAAGGTACTAGTAACCTACTAGGTCTGAGTAGTCTTAAGATATGTGGCGACATTTCAGTTCTACATTTCGAGCCGAAATAAGCAAGATAAGGACTCTCTTCTTTACATCTCTTATAAAAAGTTTCTCAGCATATTATTTTATAAAATAATGTTAAAATATTAGACACGCTATTATTATTTCTGTTCAAACCATATGTATTCAAAAGTTTATGAATTGTGTTATCTAGCAATATTCAGGTATAATGAATTCATTTATTTAAGTACTGTTTTTAAAGATATGTATTTATTTAAGGACTATTTCTAAAGATGTTTTCACAAAATACTTATATATAAAGATCATTTATTAAGTTTTGAGTATTCAAAACTTAATCTAAAAACCGAACTGGATAACATTCTAAACCATGGTTATATGTATGTCTTGTTTTCAAATATATATTGACATTTTGTTTGTTTCCAAACTTCTTAATCGTGATTGGGGACTCCTAAAAGAAACCCCAATTCGGTTACTCAACACTTTCGGCACGATGAAGCAATTGCTCTTGCCACTCTATTCCTTTCTTGTTTAGGTGTGAGATTCTGTACTGTTTGCATCTTGAAAGGCAGATTTATCAGCAGTCAGTTTTCAGTGCGACAGAAAACTTTTTCATGTTTCGAACATTTTTTTCCGATATTGCTGAGTTTAAGTCTGGTAACGGGCTATGATTTTAGACACAATTCATTTATTTGCCTTCAGATGTTATAGGGTTCTAATAATCATAGTACTATGTGTACCGGATAAAATTTTTTCAACACATCTGATATGCATATCGTTTGTCGCGCTAGTAAGCAAAGAAATCTGATGTTATGAGGTACAATTTTAGTGCACTGTTAGGAACGATTTGAGAGAAGCAGTGACCGTAAGTTGGTTGCCAGTTCAATTGCCTCGTACTGTACTTATAAGTATGTACAAAAAGCTTGAATAGTTTTACAATTAATATTATAGTACATAGTATAATACTAATAAGACTATGTTATAAAAATTTTAATTTATTTACAAAAAAAATAAACTAAATCAACTACCTGAACTATAAACTTAATGTTTTTTGTAATAATAATTAAACAATAACTAATTAGTTAATAATTGCTATAGGTCCATTATCGCAATGACTATATTTTGAACTTTCTAAGCAAACACTGTAATTTTTGTAAATATTATTTATTTAAATTAATATTTTTATTACTCATACTACGAGTATTTGTATTTGCCTCTACTACAGTGCAAATAAAGATAACTTTCTCGCATTATTTAAGCAGAGAAACAATAACAATTTTTGTTTATTTTGCAGTAATTACTGAGTTATTAACTGTCATGTAACGTGCGCGCATACAAAGAATTAACCTTGAAACCTAAGACTAACTACTCATTTTAATGACAGACACACAGTCATGAATTAAAGATACTCGCAAACATAGATACATTTGTATCTAGATACATTTGTGTAGCAACACTGCTACACAAAACAAGTATATAAAAATTTCACATGTCTGTGTATGTAGATATTTTTGAGTGTGCAAGATATATTTCACCTACATACGGATGAAATTTATGTGCTTGAATCTGTCATTATGCTGTCTGTCCGGGGTCATATATGCAAAATATATGCGCCCATATATAGTATAGAAGGCATCACGTTAATTAGTAGCAAATTGTAAACACATTTGGCAGTGGTATTATGAGGGCTCATATATTATAGCTCGTGCTTACACTTGGACATTGGATATGTGGAATATCATTTATGTTGTAATTAAAGACAATATTTAGTATAGAATGTGAGTGTTTGGAATTTAATACAATATGCATAAATTTGAAAGATGTACACATTAACTAATTGCATTAAATCAAAAAGCTTTTAGGTTTTGTATCTACGAATGTGTACTCGTAATAAATTAGTGCTCTGAAATAATGTAAATAAATTCGACGTATTAACTTAGTTACCCATTAATAATAATGAAATATTTGTGCAATACATAATGGGGTTTGGACGTTTACTAATTCAATTGATGTTCAAATAAAAAAATTGACTTCACATAAAGCTTGTCAATCTATAAAAACAAGAAATTATGACACGAAATTCATTTCTAATTCACTTAACTGAAATACAATTGCCGAAGTTAAATGTCAAATGAAGGAGGTCAGATTTAAGCAACGCGTTTTCTCTGCGTTTTGCGCTAATTGCACAATTCCTATTGCTAAATGCTCGCGAGCCTAAGGGAAACTCGCAGATACAAAGTGCGTACATGTAATCAAATTATTTTGATAATAACTTCATGTTGACTATGCATACTTCAATACGCCAAAAGCTTCGAGTTAATTAATAAATAAAGAAATCACATAAATTTCAATTGAGTGCCGTAAATTTAATCAAATACGCAATGTTAACTAGGCCGGGGTTTGACAAATTGAAAACGAAAGTAGAAATATTTTAAATACGTAAAATATGAAATACTAAATAAAGAAAGTAATACATTCTCAATACCAGCTAAGAATCTAAATTATAGAATAGAATTTATACATTTCAGAGAAAATATACCAGCGACTGCCATATATTGATATACCATCTATGGTCATTATCGAAAAGGGATGGTACACTGCGACCTAAAAGATCTATTGTGCCCCTTAGTCGAATTGGAGTGTTTCTCCAAGTCCGATTTCTTTAATTAAAGACAGTGTTGGGCCTGTGTTTCCTAGTCTTGAATCCTCTTATTTCATGAAATACCATCCAAGGTATTTTTACCGCTTGTGCATCACTGCCGGACACTCCCCTTGCAGATGGTAGGCAGTTTCTCTCTCTTCTCAATAGAATTTGCAGCCTCCAAGGTATTTCTTTCGCTTATGCATCCCTGCCGGGCACTCCTCTAGAGTACATGTTATGCGGTTTCTCTATTTTCTCTACAGTATCTCCAGTCTGAGTTGGATTGAATTTCTAACTTTGTTAGGCGATTATGCAATCTACAGTGACCGGTTAGTAATTCCGTAATAACTATTATAACTGCCTGGCTATCAGTCAGTATTGCAATTTTAATGTTCCTGTAGTTGCGTTCAAGGTTGAAAGAGAGTTGGTTACATTTCTTCCTAGTACTTTCGAATATCTATTACCA